AAAAATTGTTGGATAATTTTTATTTTTATTATAATTTATTTCTGGAAAATATATTTTAAATTTAGTGCCAGTGAAATATAATAAATGTTAATTCATAGATAAAAAGGAACACTAATCAAACTGTAATAATATGTATTAATAATAGAAATGACATTTCTTTTCTAATGGCAGGGCTGACTCGACCTGTGTCTGTCAGCACTTCCTTATGGCATCTACGCTGTGTGGTTACATATATTATCTCCAAATATTTGCAGTGTACAAAGTACAAACATCAGTGTATAAAGTGTTTGTATGTTTGTACAGTGTACAAAGTACAAACATTCTTTCTTTCAGAACACTATTGATATCTCACCTGATATCTCTCATCGAGAACATATGTCCCAAGTCTTTAGGTATGTAGATGTTGATTTTATCAATAAAAAAGCTTCCATCAAGGAATCTTTTTCGGGTTTTATTGAAATACATGCTAGAGATGCAGCCTCGATCAAAAATACAATTTTGGAGAAATTAAATTCCGATGAAATTTCATTAACAAACTGCAAATCACAATGTTACGATAATGCTGCTGTGATGGCAGGCCACACATCTGGCGTTCAACAAAGAATAATGGAAAAAAATCATAAAGGATTATTTGTAAATTGTGATAACCATTCATTGAATTTAGTAGGAGTTACTGCAGCTAAACAAAATCCAATCGTTGTGACATGTTTCGGAATAATTGAAAACATATATCTCTTTTCTCACGTTCAACGTTACGATGGGAATTATTAAAAAATGCTTTATCAAAAACTGTCAAACATGAATCTGAAACACGATAGAGATCCAGAATACAAGCGGTTAACGTTATCATCGATATGCTAATGATTATAGTAGAACTATTAGGAAAATCAGCAGAGGACACTACCACTACAAGTGACACCAGAAGTGAAGCTCCAATTCTGTTGCAAAATATACTAACTTTCAGTTTCATAACTTTATTTCATTTCTGATATGAAATTTTAAGGAGGAATGATCGTGTGCAGCTCAGATTACAAGATCGTAGAATGAATTTTAGAGAAGCGTTCCATGATCTTGAATCATTAGCGACTGAACTAGCCGAAATTCGAGACAAGCTCTGTGAAGAGGCAATAGAAAAAGCGAAATCTCTTTTTGAAAATTGGGATATTGGTGCCGCAATACGTGTAAGAAGACGACGCAAAATGCCCGGAGAATTGGCTAGAGATGTCAGTCTTTCCGCAGAAAGTGAAATTTCTCGAGTTATGAAAAGTGTTCTTGATCGTCTCCAACAAGAAATATATACACGATTAAGTGACCTTAATTTCAAATTTGGATTTCTACTAGACGTTAAAAATTTATTAAACAAGGATAATGTTGATAACGACCTTGAAATTTTTTTTAAAAAATTTGGGTGAATTTTATAATACAGATTTCAATGGAATATAGTACTTTATCGAAGCATGTGACTGCAAAATGTTACTCCGCAGTAGAAAAGAAATTGAACTTAAAACTCCATTAGAATCTCTTACTTTTATAATCCAGTATGGAGAGGATGTTTTTCCAAACCTGAGAGTGGCACTTCAAATACTCCTGACTATCTCAGTATCAATTGCTAGCTGCGAATGATCATTCAGCAAATTAAAATTAATTTTGACTTATCTACGATCAACGATGGGACAAGATTGCCTAAGTGACCTAGTATTTTTAAGTGTGGAAAGAGAAAAATTTGAAATGATCAACTTTGATGATATTATTGATAAATTTACTTCATCAAAAGCGGAAAATTTATAAATAGTAATTAGTTTTATTAATGTATTATAATCATATTATTAAATATATGTATCTCCTTAGAGATAATAAATATTTACTTTCTTATTGTTTTAAAACTGCGTGTTTTTAAAATATTTCTTTATAAATATGTAAAATAAATAATAGGTATCTTTTGAACTAATTCTAGATGATCATATACAATTCAAAATCTAGTCTTGCTTTCTCAACTACATTTTTTGTTTGAAATTTAATGCCTAGCTTGAGCCTATGACTTTATTTATTTATTACTTTGCGAGTACATTTTACTTATAATATTAGATGGTTTTCGAGTGAGGGGGGGGCGCTAAAAAGGTATTGTGCCCCGGGCGCGAGTTAAGCTCGCTACGGACTGCTACGGAGTTGAACGTAAGTAGTTGTAAATCCATGAAATTGGGTCGGCTTTTCAACGACGGTTATAAAATAAAATAAAAAAAACAATGCCAAAAAAAAATTTTTTTTTTTGGCATGATGGTTAAAACAAGATAAAACCGTCAATTGTCAAAAACTTTTCAACCCTGCCTAATTATGATATTTTTTTAAAGTGCCTAAAAATATTTTTTGAGTGCTTAAAAGGTGCTTATTTTTTGTTTAATAATTTCGCTACGCACCCTGTTTAATTCTCCTTTTTTAATTTCACACACAAAAAAAAGAAGAAGAAAAAAAAACTGATGGTGGATATATATACTTTATTCGGCAACTTTAAAAACGTGCGGTAATTTAGATTTTTTGGAACAATTACACCAATATGGCTTTGCAATCAGTAGTTTCTGAAAAATAGTTAAATAACATACATGTGCTGTCTGTTTTTCAGTTTTTTCTTAATATATTTTTTTTGTGGAATTTACGTTATAAGAATCATCCATATCGGTTTTTCTCAGTTTAAACCATTATAAAATTTAATTTTTAAAAAACTCTCAGGACTGACAAATGTGTAGTTTTAAATTGCTGATCTAAAACCACAAATTGCAGATTTTTATAGCTTTAAAATTTTGAGAAAAATTTCGTAGAAGTCTTAAAATTAATTATTAATAGTTAAGAATCTTTATCGTATTCTCCGAATATAGTTAGGACTCCTTTGTTTTCCATTTTATCTGAAAGATATGGTGCTACTAAATTATACTATATTAGTAAAAGTGTGTTAAGCACAAAAAACATCGAGAAAACAAAAATCAAAAATTTAACCTAAAATCCGATCTGACTGAGCTAAAATTTTTGGTTCAATTTTAAATTTGCGTTTTTGTTCAATTTTATTTTACTGATAAAAAATAAAGTTTATTAAAATCAGAGAAATAGCTAATAATAATTTTTGTAAACTTTTTTTTTCCTTCTGAAAATGTCAAGCAATAAATTATGAAGCGATTCATAATTTTGAGTAAAAATTCAAAAGCGCATATTTGTTTGAGTTTAGGTTGCTGAAAATTTAATTTTATTGCAGTTTAAATTTTCGAAAATCGATTTAGGTGACACCAAAAAAAAATTTCTAATTTAAATTACACAAAAACGTACATATTTACCTACTACCAAATATAGTAAAGTATCCGCCATCGTTTTATAAGCGAAAATTAAGTAATAACAAATAAAGAATCGATCACAGTCTGTTCAATTTAAGATAATGTGTTCGATTCTAGTCTATTAAATTTAACAAAACACTTTCGATATAATCGATTTTTTACTTTCGAATTAACTTTTTTAGTCTATTTAATTTAACAAATTACGTTCAATTCTAGTCTATTAAATTTAACAAAATACGTTCAATTTTAGTCTATTTTTAATTTTCGCTTTTTAATGATTTTCATATGCTACGAAATTTTAAAAAAAATGCTCAATTTTAGTCTGTTTAAAATTTTTGATAAATCTATTCAATTTATCAAATTACGTTAACTTTTGGACTATTCAATTTAACAAAAGTTGTCCATTTTTAATTTTTCGTTTTTCGATAATTTTTGCATAGTACGAAATTTTTTCAAAAATTTTCAATTTCAGTCTAATTTTACAAAAATCCATTTTAGTTAACAAATTACGTACAATCTATAATTTCACGAAACATGTTTGATCCATATTTTCAATTTCCATTTTCGCAATGATTTTAGGTTTTGAAGAAATTTTGATGATAGATCATTTGTCAGTGATAGGTCATTTGACTTTGATTATTCGACAGCTGTAATACCTTCGAAAAAAAAGGAGATTAGAAATAAAGACTATAGGATTTAGAGAATCTGTGCTTGATAATTTTTAGAACTTCTAGAAAAAGTTTTTCTCAAAAACTTAAAGCTATTTAGGCGGTTAGTAATTTTGGATAATTAATTCAATACTGTATGTTTGGGCCTAGCTAGCCTGGGTGGTAGGGCACTGGGCCCATGTCCAAGAGTTTGTGGGTGTGATCCCCGCCGGCCGAAGACTCCCCGTGTAGTAAATGGTGACTGATGCACGTTAAATCTGTCGAGTCTCAAAGTCCTCCATGTTCCCACANGGAGAACTTTTTGATGGAATTAACCAGCATTTGCGTTTCATGGAGAGGTAAACCACGAAAATCTCCCACGGTTAGCTTGATGACAAGGGGACTCTAGCCTATGATCCATCTACTACTGAGGACATTCACGTCAGCACTGTGGTTGGTGCAAGCTGGATGCGGAATTCGTATCGACCGGGATTCGAATCCGGTTGACCTCATTGGAAGGCGAACTCTCTATCCCCTGAGCCATCGAGTCAGCTGATCAATGACGGATATATATATATATATATATATATATCCGTCATTGATCAGCTGACTCGATGGCTCAGGGGATAGAGAGTTCGCCTTCCAATGAGGTCAACCGGATTCGAATCCCGGTCGATACGAATTCCGCATCCAGCTTGCACCAACCACAGTGCTGACGTGAATGTCCTCAGTAGTAGATGGATCATAGGCTAGAGTCCCCTTGTCATCAAGCTAACCGTGGGAGATTTTCGTGGTTTACCTCTCCATGAAACGCAAATGCTGGTTAATTCCATCAAAAAGTTCTCCACGAAGGCAAATTTCTCTCAATGCTTAATCCAGGAGTTCTCTTGTCTTCTGGAATGGGTTCAAAATTACAAGGCTATGGAGTTGAACAGTAGTCGTAAACCCAAAAAAATGGGACGGCTGTTCAACGACGGTTATAAAATAAAAATAAAATAATGTATGTTTGTTTCTTTCGAGATTTAAATAAAAGTTGCGAAATACAAAAGAAAAAAGAGAGGGGGGGGGGAAATCGAAATTAATAATTAACCCTAAAATTCGGGAACTGACTAAAAATATACCGATTAGAATTTCTTGGACATCCTGGACGTCGCAGAAAAATTAGAGAATGTGTTCGAACGAGAAAAAAACAGTTTGCGATGATGTTGACAATATTTCTATTTTCTATTTTTATCTCTAATGACAAAAAAAACTGATTATGAAAGAAAGAAAAAAACAATATAGCTAGGTCAATATTATCCCCCCTCCTTTTATTAGTTGGACCAAAAAAGTGGATTGAGCACCATATAAAAGTAATATTTCTCATTCCATTTAAACAGCTGTCCTGACTCTTACCTGTAACCATTGGATGAGAGGTAAGGTTAGCGAGATTCGCAGGTGATTCTAATGACAGCTGTGAAATTGAATCAATATTTAAGCAGAAGTATTGCTTAGATGAAGTCACTTCCCTAAATTGCACATCAAATAGCGTTTTCATTTAGATTTCTTAGAATTCCTCATAGAGTTTTATGTTCAGGGATATTTGAACAGAACTCTTAAAGTTTTCAGATTATCAAAGTTAAAATTACTAATTACTAAATGGCATCAGTTACGTCAAATTATAAAGGCAATTGATATTAATAAGGATTTTGATTTAAATAATAATTAGATGGGTAAAACAACAAATTTAAGTAAACAAAATAAGTGCAAAAGTAACGTCTGGGACACGACATTTCTATGCCAAACCCTGGGCACACTTAAAAAAATAGCACAGTTCTTGTACCTTTTCCCTGTCAGGGAAAAAGTTTAATCATTCTCTCTTTCAATTTGGATTTTCCCTTTTTGCTTTTCCTCTGAATCTCATTATATTTAATTTGCAGTGTTAGAAATTCAAGAGCTTCTTATAGAATTTAGTATTTTTCATTCGTGTTTCTTAATAAATTAAAACCTTATGAAGACTGTATCAAATTTGCTCCATATTATGATTTAACATGGTATTGATTTTCGTCTGAGAGTATACCTTTTACATAAAAAAATTACATGATCATCCCATCATAATATAAAAGATTATTATTGAAGTATGTAGCATTAACCATTATGTAACTCTTTATTAATTTGAATGCCTACTTTTCTATTCTAAATAACAACAGTTTCAAATAATGACACAAAAATACTGATTAAAAAAATCACCGTTATTTAACGCATATCTCTTAGAGTTCCTTTAAATAATAATAGCGTTTTTAAAATAGCTTGAAGATTAACAAATCCAAAAACAAAATACTCCTTTTAAAAATAAAGAATGAAACAATGCAAATTGAAGATATTCCATTCAAATTAAATTAAAATAACTTGTTTTCCTACTTTTATGGAATATCAATAAATTAAGTTGAATGCATTGAGAAAATAAAATAAAAAAATTTAATTGTTTTGTTTTTCTTTATCTGATTAATTCTGTGTCAAATTATAATATTGATTCAGACATTGTTTTGTTTCAAAATACATTTATAATTTCGAAATATATCCTTAAAAATTAAGCTATTTAATATGTGGTATAAAGAATTTAATTTAAAGCTGCATATTTGTATGCGTTTTGATTTTTTAAATAGAATTTTATTGCAATTATAAACTAAAATGAAAGCCGATTTGGATATTACAAAGAAATGCTTTTATCTTAAATTACGCCAAATCAAAGATATTTTTAAGAAATCTAAAGGCTTGCAAATGTATTAAACTAAACTATCTTTTAAAAAATTCTGGTTGTTGAATTAAATCTAATTTTATTTCTATAATTCTATTAATTTTATCAAAAAATAATACATCCATTTTATGTCTCAAATTGCGGTAGGAAGATGGCCTTGTATTTTAAAGTGAATTACGACAAAGCAAAGATATTTTTCAGAAAAATATAAAGACTTGCAAATGTATTATACTAAATTACTTTTGAAAAAATATGATTGTTGAATTAGATTGGTACAATTTTATCAGAAAATAATGAAGAGAGAATCTAAAATACCTCATTATTACATCTCAAATTGCGGTAGGAAGATGGTCTTGTATTTTAACGTAAATTACGCCAAAGCAAAGATATTTTTAAGAAAAATATAAAGACTTGCAAATGTATTATACTAAACTATCTTTTGAAAAAAGAGGATTGTTGAATTAGATTGGTAAAATTTTATCCGAAAATAATGAAGTGAGAATTTAAAATACGTCACGCTTACATCTCAAATTGTGGTAGGAAGATGGACTTGTATTTTACACGTTTCGAATAATAGTGCCAAATAAGGTAAATAATTCCTACCATCTCTTTATTTATGAAAATTAAATGAAAAGGATTGAAAGCGTATTTAGAATTTTTCTTCTCCGTCCCCAAACCCTCAACAGCGTAACCTTCAACAAAAATTACTTTCTGTGGCAAAATCTATTTCAACTCCATTGGGGTATTTTTAACTACTCGTATTAGTTTCGGGAAAAGTAAGTTCAGGTGAACCTAGAGAAAATTGTAATGTTTCAAATGCTAAAAAAATTTTGTCAAGATATTAAAACCTCTATATAACATAAAAACATAATGGTCTAACACAGCTTTACATTGTTGTCGATGCATTTTCATTGGCCGGAAAAATCACATGGTAGGATCCAGTTTTCCTAATTTGATTTCCTTATAATTTTGGTTGTCATCAGCATAAAATTAATAGAAATCATAAGGGTATTGTTTTCCTATAAATATTGTATCACTAATTTAGAGATATTTACCTAACCTAAAATTATTACGTTTTTGGGGTGATTGTTTTTTAAATTAGGTGTTTAAAACAAAGAGAATAACTTCTTTTATTGTTATTATTATAACGCAATTTTAACGCTACATTTTAAGATAAAGTTGTTTAAAGCTGTGTCTAATCTTATTAACCATTTCATAATAATTATTTTTTGTGCAAAGAACATTGATATACTAATATAGTGAAACCCCGATTTTACGTTTTCCGTCGGACTAAAGTTAAAAAATGCACGTAATGGAGATTACGTAACTTACTACTCACACTTACAAGATGAATTACTAGAAAAAATGCTATATTTTTAAGTTTTTACCTATTTTCAAAATGGGTGTTACTTTGGGATTGATGGCGTGGCCGTCATCACACTTTTCCACCGTATTCAAGAGTTATCATAAACAGTGCGCATCCGTCATCATTGCATGCGCTGCTATGGCGACCACTCTGCTGTTTAATAATTTTCTTATAATTCTTTTTTTCACTTTCAATTTTGTTATGCATTAAATCGGTTAGTTTATTTTTGAGATATGGGACCAGAGAGATCCCATAAATACTTCTTGAGTTGTAAATAAAAGAGAATTTCATCATTTGAATGATATTTTTGTTTTTATTGCTTTAATTAAGAATCAGAAATTCTAAAATACAGTTCAAAGTGTATCGTTTTTAATACTAATTTAGGTGAATGTCACAAACAAAGAGGCACCCAAACTGATTGACATGGTCCCAAAGGTTAAATTTGAAGCAAGGAAAAAAAAAAACGGTGACATGGCCTAAATTTACCCATTTTGCCAATGAGTAAAAAAAAAGAAAAAATTAGACCACAACCATTTTGTCAATGGGTGATCGTAATTTTTTTTAAAATTACAATTTCGACAATGCCCCTTTCAATATTTACTATTGTTTGCAAATGTTCTTCGTTTTGCAATCGCAAATATTTCAGATCTTTTATACTTTCAAACTATCAATTGCGGTTATATCCTCCGATATTTTTGCTTATCTTCATCGTTTTCATCACTATTATCGAGAGTAGGCATTAAATTAGATATTAAAATATAATGGAATGCGTCGTATGTTGCGTTTGATGACTCGGAAGGCATCATCGACTTCGGAAGATGATCAACCGCGCAATTTTATTCCGAATTGCTAATGATTCCGTTGGATACCGAGAAGCAATTAAATACGAGAAGCTCTATTAAA